AGATAAATAGTAGTGTGACCTGCAGGTACCTATGGTACAGATAAATAGTAGTGTGACCTGCAGGTACCTATGGTACAGAAAAATAGTAGTGTGACCTGCAGGTACCTATGGTACAGATAAATAGTAGTGTGACCTGCAGGTACCTATGGTACAGATAAATAGTAGTGTGACCTGCAGGTACCTATGGTACAGAAAAATAGTAGTGTGATTTGCATTCACCTATTATACAGATAAATAGTAGTGTGACATGCAGGCACCTATGGTTCATATGGATAGAAGTTTTATGAGCTGCAGGCACCTATGGTACAGATAAATAGAAGTGTGACCTGCAGGCACCTATGGTATAGATAAATAGAAGTGTGACCTACAGGTACCTATTGTAAAGATAAATAGTATAATGACCTGAAGGCACCTATGGTACAGATAAATAGAAGTGTGACCTGCAGGCACCTATGGTACAGATAAATAGAAGTGTGACCTGCAGGTACCTATGGTGAAGATAAATAGAAGTGTGACCTGCATGCACCTATGGTGAAGATAAATAGTAGTGTGACCTGCAGACACCTATGGTGAAGATAAATAGAAGTGTGACCTGCATGCACCTATGGTGAAGATAAATAGTAGTGTGACCTGCAGGTACCTATGGTGAAGATAAATAGAAGTGTGACCTGCATGCACCTATGATACAGATAAATAGTAGTGTGACCTGCAGGTACCTATGGTACAGAAAAAAAGAAGTATTACCTGCAGGCACCTATTATACAAATAAATAGTATAATAACCTGCAGGTACCTATGGTTAAAATAAATAGCACTGTGACCTACAGGCACCTATCGTACAAATACATAGAAGTGTGACTTGCAGGCACCTATGATACAGATAAAAAGTAGTGTGACCTGCATGCACCTTTGGTACAGATAAATAGAAGTGTGACCTGCAGGTACCTATGGTGAAGATAAATAGAAGTGTGACCTGCATGCACCTATGGTGAAGATAAATAGTAGTGTGACCTGCAGACACCTATGGTGAAGATAAATAGAAGTGTGACCTGCATGCACCTATGGTGAAGATAAATAGTAGTGTGACCTGCAGGTACCTATGATACAGATAAATAGTAGTGTGACCTGCAGGTACCTATGGTGAAGATAAATAGTAGTGTGACCTGCAGGTACCAATGGTACAGAAAAATAGAAGTATTACCTGCAGGCACCTATTATACAAATAAATAGTATAATAACCTGCAGGTACCTATGGTTAAAATAAATAGCACTGTGACCTACAGGCACCTATCGTACAAATACATAGAAGTGTGACTTGCAGGCACCTATGATACAGATAAAAAGTAGTGTGACCTGCATGCACCTTTGGTAAAGGTCAATAGTAGTGTGACCTGCAGGCACCTATGATACAGATAGATAGCAGTGTGATCTGCAGGCACTGATGGTACAGACAAATAACAGTGTGTGACCTGCAGGCACCTTTGTACAGATAAATAGGAGCGTGACCTGCAGACACCTATGGTACAGATAAATAGTAGTGTGATTTGCATGCACCTATTATACAGATAAGTAGTGGTGTGACATGCAGGCCCATGTTGCACAGAGAAATAGAAATGTGACCTGCAGGCACCTATGGTACAGATAAATAGAAGTGTGTCCTGCAGGCACCTATGGTATAGATAAATAGAAGTGTGACCAGCAGGCACCTATGGTACAAATAAATAGCAGTGTGACCTGCAGGTTTTTGTGGTGAAGGTACCTGCAGGTACCTATGGTTAAGATACCTGTAGACACCTATGGTACAGATAAATAGAGTGTGATCTACAATACCTATGGTTCAGATAAATAACACTGTGACCTACAGGCAAATATTGTACATATCAATAGCACTGTGACCTACAGGCAACTATGGTACAGATAAATAGTAGTGTGACCTGCAGGCACCTATCGTACATATAAATAGCAGTGTGACCTGAAGGCACCAATGGTACAGATAAATAGTAGTGTGACCTGCAGGCACCATGGTACAGAGAAAAAGCATTGTGACCTACAGGTACCTATTGTACAGATACATAGTAGTGTGACCTGCAGGCACCTATCGTACATATAAGGGAGCTACCATTTGATATTCATTGGGGGGAGGGGGTGGCTTGGATGAACAATTTTGTCCTGCATTTTTTTTAGTTGTAATCTCTGTCCTGCCTTTTTATTTTTCACCCTAATCGGTCCTGCCTTTTTTTTTTTAATTGTTTATCCTGACTTTTTTTACATAAATTGTCAACCTGCCTTTTTTTTTCCCAAGTTGCTCATCCTGCCTTTTTTTTTACTCAAAAATCGTGTTCTGCCTTTTTAAAAAAAAATCTTCCTAGACCACTAGACCCCCCCCCTCCCCCCTGCCACCCCCCAAATAAAAATCAAATGTTAGCTCCCTAAATAGCAGTGTGACCTGCAGGTACCTATGATACAGATAAATAGAAGTGTGACCTGCAGGCACCTATGGTACAGATAAATAGTAGTTCGACCTGCAGGTACCTATGGTACAGATAAATAGTAGTGTGACCTGCAGGTACCTATGGTACCGATAAATAGTAGTGTGACCTGCTGGTACAGATAAATAGTAGTGTGACCTGCAGGTACCTATGATACAGATAAATAGTAGTGTGACCTGCAGGTACCTATGGTACAGATAAATAGTAGTGTGACCTGCAGGTACCTATGGTACAGATACATAGTAGTGTGACCTGCAGGTACCTATGGTACAGATAAATAGTAGTGTGACCTGCAGGTACCTATGGTACAGATAAATAGTAGTGTGACCTGCAGGTACCTATGGTACAGATAAATAGTAGTGTGACCTGCAGGTACCTATGATACAGATAAATAGCATTGTGACCTGCAGGTACCTATGGTACAGATACATAGTAGTGTGACCTGCAGGTACCTATGGTACAGATAAATAGTAGTTCGACCTGCAGGTACCTATGGTACAGATAAATAGTAGTGTGACCTGCAGGTACATATGGTACAGATAAATAGCATTGTGACCTGCAGGTACATATGGTACAGATAAATAGTAGTGTGACCTGCAGGTACCTATGGTACAGATAAGTAGTAGTGTGACCTGCAGGTACCTATGGTACAGATAAATAGTAGTGTGACCTGCAGGTACCTATGGTACAGATAAATAGTAGTGTGACCTGCAGGTACCTATGGTACAGAAAAATAGTAGTGTGACCTGCAGGTACCTATGGTACAGATGAATAGTAGTGTGACCTGCAGGTACCTATGGTACAGATAAATAGTAGTGTGACCTGCAGGTACCTATGATACAGATAAATAGCATTGTGACCTGCAGGTACATATGGTACAGATAAATAGTAGTGTGACCTGCAGGTACATATGGTACAGATAAGTAGTAGTGTGACCTGCAGGTACCTATGGTACAGATAAATAGTAGTGTGACCTGCAGGTACCTATGATACAGATGATTATTATACTTCCTGTAAGAATGTCCTTCTATAGTTAAATTACTCTATTTTTGCATAGTTTTTAAAAGAAATATATAGCGTTAACTGCACTATGCGAAAATAGTATGTCTTGCTGTTGCAATATACTATTGATTTTAACGTCAATCATTGTTTGATTTCACGCGAAAAGGCGGAGCTTTGTTGAATTGACAGACAAGTGGGCTGGACTTATTAGCCTGATCATATGTGCGCTTGAAATAACGATGTTATAAACCACTAATTAAAGTCGCTTAATGACTATACTGTCGTCTGCAAAAAAAACAAAACAAGCAAGATGTCGCGGTTTGGTCAAGACGACCCTACAACATTTAGAAAAGAGAACTTTAAGTCCAAGAAAACTGGTCAACCAACAAATTTTGCTGTTAAAGTTTTGTCAGATTTCATTGTTGAAAGAGGTATGGAAATTGACATTTTGGAAGCCACAAAAGATGAAATCGCAAATTTATTGCAAGATTTTTATGCCAACATCCGAAATAAAAGTCAAGAATATTACAAGAAAAACACTCTTCTAGCCATACGACAGAGCATAAATAGATATCTGAAGGAGAACGACAGGTTTTTTGACATAATAACCGACCCTGAATTTACCCGAGCGAACGACAATTTTACTTCCCTACTCAGGAAAACGAGAGAAGAGGGGAAAGGAACTGTCACCCACCATGAGGCTATCTCACTGGAGGATTTGAAAATACTTTATGAACACCCACTAGTTTTTAACACGTTAACTCCTCAGGGCCTCCTAAATAAAACTATATTCGAGACAATCTTATATTTCTGCAGAAGGGGTCAAGAAAATCTCTCACAATTGAAGGTTGATGAATTTAAAGTTGACTCGGATCAAAAAGGGCAGATGTATGTCCGTAAACTTACAACAGAACTAACAAAAAACCACCAAGGTACTACAAATGAGACGGAGGGTACAGGTGGAATGATGTATGCTACTGGCACAGATAGATGTCCTGTTAAGTCTTTTGTTAAATATCTAAAGAAACACAATAATGCAAGTAACAGATTATTCTTGCACCCAAAGAATTCATACAGTGAACAAGATGATATGTGGTTCAGGAACGAACCCATTGGACAAAACACCATAAAAGTGTTTATGAAGAATTTGTCAAAGTCAGCAAAACTATGTAGAGAATACACCAACCACTGTATCCGGTCAACATGCATAACCTTGCTGGACTATAGTGGCTTCCAATCCCGTCACATCAAGAATATCAGTGGACACAGAAATGAGGCATCTTTATCAAGCTACTGTTATGATACTTCAGGTAAATGCTACACAAATATTTAATATTCATTGTGCAATTGCTCAAATTTGAATACAGTTAAAAGATATATCTATATATCTTACGCAGTACATTCTTTATTTTATTGTGCATGTTTATAAATTAATTTTACTGTCTGTCAATCATTTTCTGAACTCATATAAATGTTTTCATTGTTTTTTTATAAATACATTTTAGATAAACAGAAAAAGAGTATGTCTGATGCATTAAGTAAATGTACCTATGGAATATTACAACAGACAGAAAGTAGGAGTGTAACTAGTAAGTATAATCATGTAAACTATCAAAATAATCAAAGAAATGCAAAGAAAAAATAACCTAGGAGAAATGCATGTATTTATTTGTTTTGTTGGTACCATGAAATATAGCACACTACATTGTAGCATTGACTCCCATCAAATATTATAGCACAGTAAAATCACATCGATAATTGTATTCTAATATTTGCCACTAAACTTGGGTTGTACTGTTTCAAGATAAGACAACTGTTCATATGGCTCCTTTTGTACATATAGTCTGTATATAATATATAAATAGTTCTCCTTACATGCAAGATAGTGCAAAAGCAAACTGAATTCTTTATATTACAGTTAGTTTGTCCCAGGAAAAGACTGTTTCTACCTTCACATCGGATGAGAATGAACAGCCAATACCACTACCAGTAATAGAGACTGTTTCTGCTGTTAGAAATAGTAAGAGACAAGGTATTTTCTCCTTTTTATTTTTGTATTCAGGTACTATTGAAATAGTATTACCTATTCAACATATATTTTGGGTCAACAACATGAAATAAATGACAAAAATGTTTGTCACATAGTCTTCAACAATGAGATCTTCCTTAAAGTCACTCTCCTACATGTCCCGTTACATATAATGGAGTTCATGAACAAAATGGCATTCAGGTGAATTAATTACATATTTAACACATGTAAATACATTTATGTCTCAACATTCTTCAATACATTTAAAAATGAAAGTACGCTTTTACTTGTTTTTGATAGTACAAATGATGTACCGCTATATGTGTAAATATGGCCAAGAACTATTTGTGCAACTTTTTTTTTATGTTCAACTAGAATAATTTGTTATCTAATAGTATTGGTACTTTGTTCACACTCAAAAGCTGATTTTGTTTAAATTATTTCAGTTGAAACTTCACCATATGATCCAGATATCATTGACTTTCTGGGACTACCTGATGATGTTTTGGTGGACTATTGCCAATCAGTGGAGAATTCTGACCACCAAATAAGTGCCCCAAAGCAAATGAAGATGATGCCATTGATGAATATTTCAAATTGTACTGTTAATATCAACTATTACAATAATTGAATTTGAACAATAATGGAAAATACATTGTAGTAGATATTATTTGAATTATGCGGACATTTAAGAGACTTTAAAATACCGTAGTTTCTGTTCAAACTTTATTTTATATTTGTTTACATATGTTTACTGCTATTGAAACCAAAATAGTCATTTGTTACAGATAAATTGTAATAAATGAAATTTACTGTTAATATTACTTGTTTTTTTTAAGTTATAGAGTACTGTGGAGAAGGTTAATAAATGAAATGGAAGAGGTTTGGAGTACACCTTCTTGAGACAAATCCAAAATAATACAGGGTAAACAAATCTAGGACATAATGCTTTAATTGTACTTCTTCATCTTGAATTGAACATGAGTTTAAGCTTTCAACAATGAGCAAACCGCTGGAACCTTATAGCAAGTTTAACACAACTTCTAGCACCAGGCCAACCAGTATTCTATTGTATGTCAATAATGATTTATATTCAGATACAGAGTTAAAATCAATCATTTCACCTCAAAACATACTATTGAATCAATTCCTTTGTTAATCTTTCTAGCAGCTATGAAGACAAAGTCAAAGTCTCGTTAAGACAGCAAATATATGTTGATAAGGTTAAATAAAAGGCATTTTTTTACATTGAAATACACTATTGTCACTATTCAAAATAGTAAACAGTCAGTATAATAATGATATTAATGTTGTGTTTAACATTGACTATGAAAAATAGTTTTGTTGGTACCATGAAATATAGCACACTACATTGTAGCATTGACTCCCATCAAATATTATAGCACAATAAAATCACATCGATAATTGTATTCTAATATTTGCCACTAAACTTGGGTTGTACTGTTTCAAGATAAGACAACTGTTCATATGGCTCCTTTTGTACATATAGTCTGTATATAATATATAAATAGTTCTCCTTACATGCAAGATAGTGCAAAAGCAAACTGAATTCTTTATATTACAGTTATTTTGTCCCAGGAAAAGACTGTTTCTACCTTCACATCGGATGAGAATGAACAGCCAATACCACTACCAGTAATAGAGACTGTTTCTGCTGTTAGAAATAGTAAGAGACAAGGTATTTTCTCCTTTTTATTTTTGTATTCAGGTACTATTGAAATAGTATTAACTATTCAACATATATTTTGGGTCAACAACATGAAATAAATGACAAAAATGTTTGTCACATAGTCTTCAACAATGAGATCTTCCTTAAAGTCACTCTCCTACATGTCCCGTTACATATAATGGAGTTCATGAACAAAATGGCATTCAGGTGAATTAATTACATATTTAACACATGTAAATACATTTATGTCTCAACATTCTTCAATACATTTAAAAATGAAAGTACCCTTTTACTTGTTTTTGATAGTACAAATAATGTACCGCTATAAGTGTAAATATGGCCAAGAACTATTTGTGCAACTTTTTTTTTATGTTCAACTAGAATAATTTGTTATCTAATAGTATTGGTACTTTGTTCACACTCAAAAGCTGATTTTGTTTAAATTATTTCAGTTGAAACTGCACCATATGATCCAGATATCATTGACTTTCTGGGACTACCTGATGATGTTTTGGTGGACTATTGCCAATCAGTGGAGAATTCTGACCACCAAATAAGTGCCCCAAAGCAAATGAAGATGATGCCATTGATGAATATTTCAAATTGTACTGTTAATATCAACTATTACAATAATTGAATTTGAACAATAATGGAAAATACATTGTAGTAGATATTATTTGAATTATGCGGACATTTAAGAGACTTTAAAATACCGTAGTTTCTGTTCAAACTTTATTTTATATTTGTTTACATATGTTTATTGCTATTGAAACCAAAATAGTCATTTGTTACAGATAAATTGTAATAAATGAAATTTACTGTTAATATTACTTGTTTTTTTTAAGTTATAGAGTACTGTGGAGAAGGTTTATAAATGAAATGGAAGAGGTTTGGAGTACACCTTCTTGAGACAAATCCAAAATAATACAGGGTAAACAAATCTAGGACATAATGCTTTAATTGTACTTCTTCATCTTGAATTGAACATGAGTTTAAGCTTTCAACAATGAGCAAACCGCTGGAACCTTATAGCAAGTTTAACACAACTTCTAGCACCAGGCCAACCAGTATTCTATTGTATGTCAATAATGATTTATATACAGATACAGAGTTAAAATCAATATTTCACCTCAAAACATACTATTGAATCAATTCCTTTGTTAATCTTTCTAGCAGCTATGAAGACAAAGTCAAAGTCTCGTTAAGACAGCAAATATATGTTGATAAGGTTACATAAAAGGCATTTTTTTACATTGAAATACATTATTGTCACTATCAAAATAGTAAACAGTCAGTATAATAATGATATTAATGTTGTGTTTAACATCTATTATGAAAAATAGTAGCCAGGGTTTGAGACAATAGTGCACTCCCCTTCGGTTCTTGCACTATTGTCTCTCACCCTGGCTACTATTTTCACATAGTCAATGTTAAACACAACATTATTATATAATAGTAGTGTGACCTGCAGGTACCTATGGTACAGATAAATAGTAGTGTGACCTGCAGGTACCTATGATACAGATAGATAGTAGTGTGACCTGCAGGTACCTATGGTACAGATAAATAGTAGTGTGACCTGCAGGTACCTATGGTACAGAAAAATAGTAGTGTGACCTGCAGGTACCTATGGTACAGATAAATAGTAGTGTGACCTGCAGGTACCTATGGTACAGATAAATAGTAGTGTGACCTGCAGGTACCTATGGTACAGATAAATAGTAGTGTGACCTGCAGGTACCTATGGTACAGATAATTAGTAGTGTGACCTGCAGGTACCTATGGTACAGATAAATAGTAGTGTGACCTGCAGGTACCTATGATACAGATAAATAGTAGTGTGACCTGCAGGTACCTATGGTACAGATAAATAGTAGTGTGACCTGCAGGTACCTATGGTACAGATAAATAGTAGTGTGACCTGCAGGTACCTATGGTACAGATAATTAGTAGTGTGACCTGCAGGTACCTATGGTACAGATAAATAGTAGTGTGACCTGCAGGTACCTATGGTACAGATAATTAGTAGTGTGACCTGCAGGTACCTATGGTACAGATAAATAGTAGTGTGACCTGCAGGTACCTATGATACAGATAAATAGTAGTGTGACCTGCAGGTACCTATGATACAGATAAATAGCATTGTGACCTGCAGGTACATATGGTACAGATAAATAGTAGTGTGACCTGCAGGTACCTATGGTACAGATAAATAGTAGTGTGACCTGCTGGTACAGATAAATAGTAGTGTGACCTGCAGGCACCATGGTACAGATAAATAGTAGTGTGACCTGCAGGTACCTATGGTACAGATAAATAGTAGTGTGACCTGCAGGTACCTATGGTACAGACAATTATCAGTGTGACCTGCAGGCGCCTATTGTACAGATACATAGTATGGTGACCTGCAGACACTCTATTGGCAAAGAAAATCAGCAGTGTGACCTGCAGGCTCCTATGGTAGAGATAAATAGCAGTGTGACGTACCGGCACCTATGGTACAGATAAATAATGCTGTGACCTGCAGATACTTATGGTACAGATAAATAGCAGTGTGACATGCATGCACCTGTGGTAGAGACAAATAGTATTGTGACCTGCAGGCACCTATAGTTCAGTAAAATAATAGTGACCTGCAGTTACCTATTAAGATCTACCTGGGTAATACGCGTAGGTGTACGTGGGACTACTTTTTGCAACTTATGAATGGAAGTAACCCCTGACGAATCTTTTAGCTTCGTGCGAGTTTTACGGAGAGATTAATTCTATTCCACATCGGATTAGAACCGAAATAAGAGTATAATCAAATGTAATAGAAATTATGTGTTTGCTAAATTTCTATCTCTCAAAAGTTGTCAAAGGCAACAGCAAAGAATACACACATTTTAAGGCAATAGATGTGGGACAAGATAGATGTGTTTATTGCCGTTTTCATGAAGAATTCGATTCAATCTCTATATTTGACTTCAAGGAAAAGGATCTCAGTTTGTATCATTCAGCACGATTGCCAACTACTACATGCAACAGTACAGAGAGAAGAAACCTGCTCCTGATGTTTCCTATGAGTCTGAGCATGATGTTGCCTATCAAAGAGTTTTAAATGTCACCTTGGTATTTGTGTTTTACTTCTTTTATCCAAAATTTCAAATGATTAATATTCATCTGCATCTGCAGTATCTACTCCTACAGCTGTACAATTTATTCCTACCTCAAAGATTAATTTGTCTTGCTTGGCTAGTATAAGGCATTTCAAAAAGGATTACAAAAAATCTCAAGCTTTGCATTTCAAAACCGGGGCAAATTACTAGTATTTTATCTTAATGTTTCTTTTAACCCCCGAGACTGAAGGAAAGTTTTGCAGGGACTGTCAGTAGCTGTACTATACCATTATAAGTACAAAGGAAAAGGCAGGCAAAAGACTTATTTTGGCAGTCTCAACTTGCAAATGAATAAACGTTTTTGTAATTAAGTCATCATACACTTATGTTTCATATACTTTGTTTTTTAGTATTTTCTTGATATGTCAAACATCGTGGTTCCAGAATGGTTAATTTTTGCAAACCACAGATGCAAGACGGTTTATATTGGGTTCAGTATTGACAAAAAGGACAGTTTAATTGGCCAAACCCAGGTATCATTTTTATAATATCTAACTGGTTTAGATATTTACACGTATGTGTGAAGAAAATTGATGGCTGATCTGTATGACACAGAGGCAAATTGTAAACCGTACAAGGTGATCTCTATACTATGAGTGGAGTCGGGGTTATCTTAAGTTGATTTATTAGTGAAACTCATTCATTATTAAGACAACAAAATCTTAGGGTACGCCTGCTGGATGAAGGCTCATTTTGCCAAACTACCGCCCATATCACCTTTTGGGTATGAATGGAGAAAGGAGATACCCCTTTAGTTCCAATATCTTTGAAGGTCCATCATCCTCCGACTTTTAACATTTAAAGAATAGATTTCGATCACATAGACCAATTTTTTAGTCTATGTAACTTTCTGACTTTATCTTTTGTTTCATACTCACATTAAAGAATCATGCGATAATAATAATTACGATCATGAAATTGTATCTGTATCTGTTTATAGCAATTCTGCCTTTTATTCAACGGGAGACAGATACACCTATCGACGGTGCTGAAAAGCTCTCAACTGTATTAGCGCATACAGTACTGTCTTCCAGTTGGTTCCAATGTATTATGTTCTTGACAAAAACAGAGTTCTTATATGGATCCGGATTATATGAAATAGTGTCTAGTGTCTTCGCAGTTTTCTTAACTGAATTTGACACTATATTGTCACTTTCAGAGTTATCATTTTTTTCGCTTTAATTTCTCTCTTAGGTTTACCTTTAACCAAAATATCGTTACGATATAGCTCGGACCAAACCCTCAACCACTTTGTACAGAAATGCCAGCCGTTGACTTGTTCTACTTGACTGTAGATTATCCAGTTCTAAATCGGCTAGCATTTTATAGTGACCAACCTCTCTTCTTCAGATTTGTAATCGCCTGTTATACATCTGGGTGTCCTACGTTGGATCCTTTCCAGTTGGTTTATATCGTGTTATGTACATGTATATGGGTCCACCATTATGGCCCTTTATTCCATAGTCGATCTCAATAACGAATATGCGGTCTTTTGACAAGCTTTTGGGCAAAAACGTAGGTTTCTTCTGAGAAACCCAAGCGTGAAATTGGCCTTCTTGGCTGCATTGGAGACGTGTAGTTTATTTCAGGTCTTCCGATATTTGCAAACCTAGATATGGATTATGTTGGACCTGTTGTTGTACCTGTTCATCAAGGCTGTACATTTTCTGGCTTTTGTTCTTGATGCTCAGAATATAGCACTTCTTTGCATTAAAGCGCATACCCCAGTCTTTAACCCATACTTCTAGGTTTTGGCGGTCCTGTTTCAGGATTGTATGGTCATGTTGTGTATTAAAAGGCAGTCATCTGAAAAAAGTCTGGCGGATGATTTAACTGCATCTGGCAGGTCGTTAATTTGGTAGAGGAAAAGAAGGGGTCATAGTACAGTTCATTTAGGAACGCCAGAGTCAACAGAAGCTTTCTCTGATTCCTCATCATCTACTACGGCTTTCATTTTCCTTTTGGTTAGGAACATTTCTAACCATTTGTTGAGTAATTCTCTCACACCATATTCGTCCATTTTATGAAGTAGTTTGTTATGTTTCACGGTGTCAAATGCTTTGGAGAAGTCCAGGATAGCTACATCGGTTTGTTTTCCTTCGTCAAAGGATTTCATGTAGTAATATTAGCAAAAGGGTTTCACAGGAATAGCCCGAGCTGAATCCATGGTTTAGTGATGTAAGTACCCTGTGCTTCTCTAGATATTGAAGCATATGTCTACAGATAATTTGTTCTCGTAGTTTGCCCGGTACATATATTAGTGATACTGGTATGTAGTCTTCTGAAGCGTGTTTGTCTTCCTTTTTGAAGACACTTGAGATGTTTGCATTTAGCCAGTCTCTTGGTAGTGTACCAGTATTTATGGATTTTTGGAATATTACTGCAAGACTTTAGTCTAGTTGCTAGTTGTTTTGAGCATTCTTTTAATATTCGGTATGCCGTCTGGGCCTGATTCCTTTGATGTATTTAATTTTTTGAGCAGCTTTTCTACTCCTTCTGATCTTATATCTAAAAGAGGTATTGTATTCTTTATGTGCTTTGATGTTTTTGACAGTGTTTT